GCATGGAGGAGGAATAGTGTAACTGTATCCACATTTACAATATTCTTCTTACCAAAACCATTTATAGAAAATAGGAACTGCATTGGAACATGTATCTCTGGATTGGAAATGATCATATTGTTTATATTCCTAGCCTTAAACTTAAAAGATTATATTGTTCAAAATTATTTGTTATATATTTGTTTAAATTTTTCCCTCTTTTAACAACTGGGGTCTAGAGGGAAGAGAAAAGACCAGAGAATGGCCAAAATTATTGGGGCAGCTATTGCTGCCAGTTTAAGGCCTGTGTCAGGCAAAGGAAATCTTACTCATAAACAATGACACCCAAAGGTAATAAAGGAGGTCAGAATTGCTTCCACTGTGGAAAGCTGGGCCACTTCAGTAGACAGTGTGACAGACGAGAGCCACAGATAGGCAAGGGAGTAGAGAGGAAGCTCCCACTCACTAGCTTTAAGTGTGGATCTGAAGCACACATGGCCAAGGGTGGTCCACATCAGGTCCTTGTGGCTGACAGGACTGACAGGCCCTAGTTCCCAGCTGGAAACAAAGGAGGATGCTTCAACAATTCAGATCCTCCCAGCTGTGGGTGAGCATTAACATTACTGGTAAGTATATTCATTTTCTCCTGGACACAAGAGCCTATTACTTGGTCCTAAAAGCCTTCATAGGTCCCAACTCTTCTATTTCTTAGTTGTTGGAATTGACAGAAAACCTCATAAGCAGTTCCTTACTTCACCTCTGCCTTGCATGTGGACTTCCAAGCTGTAAAACAACCCTGTGGTAGATGGAATTTGGTCCAGGACTTAAGAACAATAAATGACATAGTTGAGCCTCTACATCTTGTGGTTCCTAACCTTTATACTATAATAGACAAAGTGCTAGTTAATAAGCCTTTTTTTATTTTAAGAACTACCTCCCCTCTGTAACTTGATTTGTGCTACTACTAGAACTTCTATTTGGAATATTATTGCTTTTAATTTTTGACTTATGTACTTTTAACTTGTTAGTTAAATTTGTGTCTTCTAGGCTGCAACAATTTCATGATGCAATTTCAAGGGTATGAACATGTATGGCTAAACACAACTGATAACAGTGCATCTAAATTCCAAAATCAATCGCCATAATAGTCTGCATGTTTCCTATTGCCAAAGGGGCCCTTCAGAGTACTGAGAGAAGATCTTCACCCTGAAACCTATAGCAACCCTTTTCAGCAGGAAGTAGCTAAGAGAATACGCCATCCCCTTTTCCTTATGAATCAGGGTGAAGTCTCTCTCAGGGAGGAGTGATAAGGAATCGCAAAGACACACTGACAAAGGAGATTAATCAGAACTGGTTTTGACAAGCACTGTGGCAAGGGGAAAATTAAAACAGACTTTCAAGGGAGAAAAAAAAAAAAAAGAAAAAAACGGGGGGGGGCGGTAGAGAAAATAATGCAACAATGAATGAATGGAAATCCAAAATCTCTGTAAATGTTCATTAAAATTAATAAAATGAAATTAATTAAAACATTAAACTGAAGGTTGTCAGCTCTATACAAGAACAACACTTGGCTGAGGAAGGTTAAAGGACTAATGAGACAGGAACAAAAAGATGATATAAAGTAAAGCCTACATCAGAGAAATTAAGAAAGTGCAGTCAAAGCAAAACTCATTGCTTTTGAAATGAAATTGGCTCACAGCTGACCCTCTAGCAGGTTTTCAGAGACTGAATGAGAGCAGACTGTCTTTCTACCTCAGAACAGCTGGTGGATTCAGGCAGGCTGCCTTTGGACGGGCAGCACCATTCTTAAACACAATCTTAAACTCATTGGTATAGTTTCCAAGGAATAGATGGCTTGTGAGCTAAGTCTTCAAAGGGAAGAGAGAAAGGTCAATGGGTGGGGAGAGATGATAATTGAAAGGCTTGGGCAGTGTTTTTTCTACCGTTAGATTGAGAAAAAGCACTGCATGCTGCTGTCTAAAAGGAAAATTCTCAGGCCTTAACAACAACAACAACAAAAATGGAATTTTCTAGAAGGTCTGAAGTAAACCCAGAAGACCAAATATTTAACAAGCCTCAGAAATTCTAATTAAGATATTCAGGCACTTGGCATCATGAAAAGCACAAAAGATAGTCTAGGGAATTTTGAGTCACTCAAATCAAGACAAATGTTCCATTTAGTCAGAAGTTCTAACTCAAACACCTATAGGGGCCAGGCTCGTACAGGCAATAAAGAGAGTTGGTAGGTGGTAAAATGTATGTATTACCTGTGGCTACTGGGGCAAGAGCGGGCATTGGTGTCTCAGTGGCAGACATCTTGCCTTCCATGTGAGACAGCTGGCTTTGCATCCCGGCCAATGTCACTCAGGCAGCTCGGCCACTCAGCAGCCACCTCTGATGTCACTGGAGCTAGTGTGTTACTGCCGTGTTCATCAAGTTTCTGAGATGTTTCCAGATTAATTCAGGCTAGGAAGAAAGGGCTGGCGTTGTACTTCCCCAAATCAGCCAATGAGAAAGGTATGGAGCCAGCTGGGCACGGAGTGGCCTCGGGTCAGGAGGGCAACCAACATTTCTAAAGGGAGTTCCGGCCAAGTACTGCCGTGCGGTGCTCTTTCCACTGATGAGGAATTCTGAGATCTGGGTATTATGTAATAACACTCCCACATTATCAAACGATGGATCAGAACACCACAAAGGCCAAACACGTTCATGCCAGAAGGCCACTAACAGGCAGGACTGAGATCAGAGCAGCAGAATGAAATCTCACTGCAGAGAGACTTCCATGAGAGACGGGAACTGTATGCAACCTGGTAGACTGTATGCAACCTGGCAGATTGTATGTAACCTGGTAGACTGTATGCAGCCTGGTAGATTATATGTAACCTGGTAGACTGTAAGTAACCTGATAGACTGTATGTAACCTGCTAGACTGTATGTAACCTGCTAGACTGTATGCAACCTGGCAGACTGTATGTAACCTGGCAGATTGTATGTAACCTGGTAGACTGTATGCAGCCTGGTAGATTATATGTAACCTGGTAGACTGTAAGTAACCTGATAGACTGTATGCAATCTGGTAGACTATACGTAACCTGGTAGACCATATGCAACCTAGTAGACTGTATGTAGCCTGGTAGACTGTATGCAACCTGGTGAATCATATGTAACCTGATAGACTGTATGCAACCTGGTAGACTGTATGTAACCTGGTAGACTGTATGAAGCCTGGTAGATTATATGTAACCTGGTAGATTGTAAGTAACCTGACAGACTGTATGCAATCTGGTAGACTATATGTAACCTGGTAGACGGTATGCAACCTGGTAGACTGCATGTATGTAGCCTGGTAGACTGTATGGAACCTGGTAAACTGTATAGACTGTATGCAACCTGGTAGACTGTATGTAACCTGGTAGACTATATGCAACCTGGTAGACTACAGGCAACCTGGTAGACTGTATGTAGCCTGGTAGACTGTATACAGCCTGGTAGGCTGTATGTAACCTGGTAGACTATATACAACCTGGTTGACTGTATGCAACCTGACAGACTGTATGTAACTAGTAGACTTTATGTAACATGGCAGACTTTGGACTGGCAGCACCATTCTTAAACACATTCTTAGACTGTGGAGAAAGAAAAAGAAAAGAAAGTTATGGAGCAAAAACAATGATTAGCACAAAAGGTGGCATTGAGAAAATCCATGGCTGCCCTTGGGATGGAGTGGAGAGTGGGCCTCCAGCAGATCCCACGAGACTGTTGTCATTGTTAAGTTAAATCAAGTAGGAAAGAATGAAATCCTCAAAGATGCTAGGAAGCAGGAATTTAGGAGCTTTGGTTGATTATGGAAGGCGAGAGAGAGCATCATCTCCTACAGTGTAGGCGTTTCCCCCTGTTGTGTTTTTCTCTGACCACCTGGAAGAAGGGAAATTAATCTTTGGGTTCACACCTACAAATGTACTTTGTCTAATTATCCTTCTCCCTCAATAGATACATATGTTCCAGCTTCATTCCTTCCAGAAGGGGATAAAAAAAGAGGTTGCATCCTGATAAATTCCTGCCTAAAAAAAAAGTCAGTCTTAAGAGTCATTCTTTTGCAATCCCAGAGGTACGTGTTTCAAATCCATCAGAAGATGCTCTGCTGGAGAAGGACAGGCAATCTCCGCCTGTACCAGTCAGATCCAATTTGATGGTACACACACACACACACACACACACAGAGAGAGAGAGAGAGAGAGAGAGAGAGAGTGATTCTTTTAAGGCAAAAAAGAAAAAGAAAAAATACACAGACAAAATATTGTATAGTATCTCTAATAATAATATAATAATAAATGCAAATAAATCAATACAAACAGAACTTGGCTTTAGCAAACTGTACATACATAAATAACTTTTTTTTACTATAACATTAAATTTTTTTATCACATAAAGCCTTCCATGATCTTATTTATTACATCCAGTTTCTCTTTATACCTTTAAAAAAGTGCCTTTTACATTTACAGCTTGTGCTTCAAAAGCAAAGTAAGAACACCATGACCCAAAAGAAAAGAAGGTAGAAAGGAAGCTGCCATATAAGCTCTTAAAAATGGTATGGTACAAGGTTCTAAAATCTCTTTTGCACTGGTTGGTTGGTAGATTGTACGGTACTGCCATGGTGTCCAGAGAGGACGGCTGACTGGATGGATAGAGAAAGCTGCCCGGAAGGTCCACTGGAGTCCTCGGTTATGCACAGAGGGGACCAAGGACCCAGGATTCCCAGCATAGGGAACGAACCCTGGAGGTCTTCAGTCATTTCTTGAGTGCTGGGGCTTGAAGTTTTGAGCAGAACATCTTCCACACCCTCTAGACCTGTCTCTTCTCCGCCTGTCATTGTTTGGCCCCAAAGCCAGGACTTGCACACATGGGACACGGGAGAGGACTCAAGCTGCCACGTGAGGGGCATTCCCCACGATGAAGGTCCTTGCCTTTGCAAGGCTGGGCTTGCTTGCAGCTGCACCCAGCGCCTTTGCAGATGGCTGTGCTCAGAGTGGAGGCGGCCCGTTGGTGTATCTGAGCATGGGGTGGAATGAGCGGGCAAAGTTGTTGGACAGGGCACAGCTGTAGTCCTCCTCTGACATGGGGACGAGGCAGGCGAGTCCAATGAGCAGCAGCAGAAGGAGCTGGAGCGGAAGGGCCGCCCGGAGCACTCGGAGCAGGAAGGCTCGGCCCGACCGAGCTGCCTGGGGCTCAGAAAGGGAGGAACCGGAGCCACCTCTTATGGACCTGAGAGAAGTGATACCAGTCACTCACCTGCTGCAGGGAGGCCGCTCTAGGCTTTGGCACCTTCCCGGAAGCTAAAGGGCCCGTCAAACCCAACCCAGCTTGGCAGGTGTCTGCACTGCTCTGCAGGATGGTCAGATCATTTCCCCACCACCGACCAAAGGGATGTTTGGAAATCACGCTGACAAGAAATAAGCTTTCAGTCAGACAGTGGGAGGTACGAACTGAGGTACACATTCTTCTCATTCTAACCCTTGATTAGGTAAAAACCCTTTCCCCCAATGAGGATGAGTGTTCTATTCAAATCTGAACAGAATAAATGGATCCAGGATAATAAAGACATTTCCTTTTTGGTTTAAAAAAAATATCAGGAGCTATACAAGTTGCTGCCAAAATTACACACAGGATCCATGTAATAGTCATCTTGGATATGCCCGAATCCACAGCAGGAGTAGGAAGAGAGTCGTTTTTGCACACTCATCCAATTTCTCTCAGGAAAGCCCACCTTCTCTGAGGGCTGGTTCTGACACCCTGGTTTTGTTTTGCACTGGATCAGCGGCTGGCTGTGATGTCCCTGGGTTTCACAGCTGTAGGCAAAAGGAAGGGCTGTGAAGCGCACTGACAGAACCCTGGTCTTGAATACCAAGTGCCTACGCTGACCTCGCCATAGCGCGGGGACTATGAGAAGCTCACACACTTTTCTGAGCAGGATGGACAGTCACTTCAATGATCCCTTCTCAGGAGGTACGGCAGGCGTGGGGTGTGCCCGGGGTGCCACCTGAAAGGGGTGCTGCCGAGTGGTTTCTGTTGACTCTTGCCAGCCGTGAGCACTCAGTCAACAAGTTAAGAGCATGACTGTGGCGTTTGAGAGCCTCCCTGGGGGAAACCACAGATGGTGGCCTCGCTTACTTTGCCGAGTCTAGCAAGAGAAGTGGGAGAAAAAATGACCGGGCACATCATTGATGAGCTTCTAAATGTGAAAGCAAGGAAGACACAGTTGTAATTTCCACATGTTAAATTAGAGAAGAAGAAGAGTCTTGAACACACCATGGGCTGTCAAGAAAACAAACAGTTCTGTCTTTGGAGAGGATGAAGCCAAGTGTCTCTGTGGAGGTTAGGATTTTGAAGCTCCTCCTCACTTACTTTGGGCACATGGCCAGAAAAGACTGATCCTTAGAGAAGGACATCATGCTCAGAAGGGTGGATGGACAGCGCAGAGAGGAAGACCCCAGATGAGATGGACTGACACTGGGCCAATGGGGATAGGTGTGCTGGAGTCAGTGAGACTGGCTCAGGACAGGGCAGGCTTCCGAGCTGTTGTACATTGGGGCACTATGAGTCACAGACTACTTGACATCACATAACAACAAGAAGTTAGAGATCAAAGAGCTTCACTTGTGGTTTTGCACTGGTCTTGTGGTAAAGTTATTGTAAAAGGTGGTAGACCGAAGTATAGTCAAGGGTACAGTGTCAGTATTTGCCTTTGGTGCTATTTGACTCCTAGATTCCAAGTCCTGACTTTCCCTAATTTGCCTCTGTCTCCCTGTTAAGCAGCACATTAGTGAGTAGTCATGAACTTCAAACTGTTTAAGGAAGGTGGCCGTGAAACGTCGATTATAGAAGTAGGTCCTAGACTGATGTCTCAGTCTCCGCTTTGTGGAAAGAATGAAGAACTCTCCTTCACTAGAGGCATCTCGTATGGGCACAGACACCCAGAGTCACAGGAGCAAGGAGAAATGCTCTAACAGGAAGACACGAGTCCCAACATCTAGTATGAATTCCACAAAGGCTTTAGGACCACTCAGGGTAACGACAGGAGCTCCGGCGGCTCAGTGGGGAGAAGTTGTGCAGACAACAGAAGGGCACAAGGTTTGGATTCACCAGCTGCTCTGTAGGGAAAAGACGAGCAATCTCCTCCCACGTGATTTATAACCCTCACCCTGGCGAGTCAGCTACAAGAGGGTTCTGACATGACAGTACATAAAAACAACAACAAGGGTAGTGATAGTGAACTATGTAATTTGGATAAACATGCAGTCATGAAACCTAAACTGAATTGGTAGCTCGCTATGTTTTTCTCATAAGGAAACATTTTTCTAGTCCCCTCTTAGCTGTTAATTTCTGAAGACAGATCAGTGAGGGATTAAGTTGGAACGACAGAAAATAAGAACGAAAAGAAAAGCCAGAAGATAAATGCTCTTTTACGAAGCTAGCAAGAAAGATGGGAGACAGGCTGGCTTTAAGTCACCTCAGTAGCCTTATACCACACTGCTCTGAAAAGAAATCATTGGCCTAATTGTAACCTTGTTCTTTTCTCAATTACTAACAACCTTGTAACCTTGAACAACTCACTTGATCTCTATGCACTATCTTGTTTGCTCAAATTAGACCAAAAGTTCTTCGGATTCAAAAGTCCCATCTTTCATATAATAGAAGTCAACTTAGTGTCCCTGTTAAGAGGCCACAAGAGTTCAGTCACCATCTAGTGGTCAAACGGATTAAATGCCCCTCAGCTAATAAAACCAAGGCATCATTCCTAATGAGCTGAGTAAGAAAAAGTATGTTGTATGCAAATATTTGGAAGCAGGAGTGGCATCCACTTCCTAAATAACATGCCTCCAGAAACCCTATGAACTTTGATAAATGTCAATAGTTTAGAGTGGCTTCAAGTCTTTTGTTCATAAGGTCTGCTATGAGTAGTGCTCTACTTGATGGCAATCAACAACAACAACAACAACATGCAAATACAGTAGGCCATCAAAGGAGAAACAGATCACACACATTATTAATGGAGGGTAAAAAGTTGGTGAGATGTACCACGGAGTCAGAACCGACACACAGCTGACTTTCCAATTGGGTTTTCTGAGGCTGTAAATCCCAGTGGCGGAGATTGCCCATCTTTCTGCCATAGAGCAGCTGCTGGATTCAAATGACCTGTTTGGGGGTTGGCAGGGCACCTCCTTAATCACCAGGTCACCATCAGAGCTCCTTAGAAAATAGAGAACATCTCACTGCAAACCCAGAGGTACGCAGTTCAAATCCACCAGATGCTCTGCTGGAGAAGAAGGGGCAATCTCCTCCTGTACCAGTCAGATTCAATTTGACGGTACACACACACAAAAATAATAAAATTAAATTAAATTTTTAAAAAGAAAATTGAGAACATCTAATCTTTTCTCCCGAACTTTGCAGATATGGTTAATGAGTTTGGCTGCTAACCGAAAAGTTACAAGTTTGAGTCTCTACAGAAGAAATCTGGAAGACAGACTTGGCTGTCTAGTTCTGAAAATCCTACAGCACTTTATTCTATTCAGACTCATGGAAGGTCAACATGAGTTGGAACTGAATTAGTAGCACCTGAATTAAAGCAAAGGAGACTTAATATTTATTCGTCTAATTGCCAGGCAACACAGTAAACACTCATCTTGAGTTTCCTCATTTTGTTTCTACAAAGGTCCTCTGAGGTGTGTAGTTACTATCTTCACTTACAGGTGACAAAAAGGGGACTCAGAGGTAGAGCAGTAACTTCCTTAGATTTGCATGGCTAGTGAGTGGCTGGATTAGGAGTTCAACTCAGCCCCTGGATCTGCTCTATAGAACAGGGAAGTGACTCGCCCCAAACCTCCTGTCTGAGTAAGGAGCTCACTGAGGGCACCCCATCTCTGTCTACTTCATTCTCTGCCTCTCCTGTCCGATTAAGGAGCTTGCTGAGGGTACCATGTCTGTCTATCGCATTCTCTGCCATGATGCGCTTTGTTGCTTGACCAGATGAAGGGCACAGGTCTCTCATGTCTAGAAACAAAATATTTGGAATTGAGTGATATCTTCATGTCTAAAATAAATGGCAACAATTAGAGAGTCTCAAGATAGTCTATCAAGGCAAAGTGTAGGCAGGAAGATCATTTGTGTTGAGACACCTACATCATCTTGCTTAAGTAAATTAGACCTGCTGGCTTTAAGTTTTCTCATTTGCAAAGACAGCGGGTGCCTTAAAATCTCTTGCTTTTTAATGGTTTAAGATTCAGTAACTGGCCTTGGAATGCCTTGAGAGGGATGGAATCAGCTACCAAGGAACCATGGGCTGAATGTGACTTCAATATATCCCTCTCCTGACTTGGAAACACATGCTATCGTTCCCTGTAGCTGCTGCACCATGCTACAAGGTCAACGTCAAGCTCTGAGCATCCTCATTATTAAATATTAAAATAAAATGGATGAGATTCCTAGCTGATGCATCTTCTTTAGGTGACATCTATCATCATTTGACTGGCAGAGCTCAACAGCCCCTGCATGTCAATCATTAGCACAATCAGGTAGAAGAAGTTCAAGATCAAAACAAGAGCCCCATGTTGGCTAGTGCACTCGTGAGAAGAACTAGACAGGTGAGCATTTTGGACTCTGGGCTCATCAGGTGGAGAATTTACTGAAGGACATGGCACACTGATCAACATCAGAGCATTCCCTAGTAATGTTTAATGAGAGGATGTTTTCTAATGTCGAAGAATGCCAACCTGGGAGAAGTAATAGGCTGGGGTCGGGACGAAGGGAACAGATGGTGCTTTGTGACCTTGCATGCACCTGCCTGCCCTTGAAGATGTCCAATCTACCAGCTGAGAAAAGAGGCCCGCTTCCTGGGAAAACTCCCAAGACCTCACTATGCCCCGTGCCGTCCCTTCCTTAAGAGAAGCCTCCTCTTGAAGCTTCCAATGCCAACAGATGAACAAAAGCACAACAAAAGGTTACTGTTAATGTGTATCTGTTAACCTTAAAATCAGCTAAGTTTCTAGAGTTTGGGGGAAATTCCACAAGGAAAGAACAAAGGCATCGCGCTGATTGCTCTTTTCTTTCCTCTTGATTTTTTACAGAAAACAGATGCCGTTTGGGACTGTGTCTGCATATGAACATTTAAAAGCGTGAACATCTTTAAGGACTTAAATCAACAGAAAAATATTTAAAAGAATTCTGTTTAAGAAAAGAAAATGCGTCTATTCTCTACATCTTTA